TGTCAGTGACTTTATGGATTTGTGCCTTGTTTTGGTTTGGCCGTGCCTAGCTTTCTTCCAACTTACTCCTACACAACAAAACAGCTCGACTAGGCAGTCAGTCATTTGGCATTCGTAACACATGTTGCAACCACCTCAACTGACGAATTTTTAATACATCTGTCATCCTTAACTAGAACTCATTTCCTAATCACATCAAATGCCTTTAGCTGATAGTTACTAATGAAGATACAATCTGAATCGGTATATCCTTGTAATAATTTATCCTACTTCTCAGTAATGAGCAGTGTTATGTATTTAGCTGTAAAATAATTTTTATTTCTTATGAACTAAAATTTAACTTACTCAACAGTGAAAACCACTAAGAATATGATTTCAATTTTGAAATATCTATCACCCAAAATGCTACATTTGAAATTTTCGGTTTATTCTCAATGAATTCGATTATTCCATTTAACAGTATTCAAAAGGGAATCAACTGTCGGTGTTAAATCTATCGAAATGTCTAAAAAATCATGACTGAGATACGCGTGAAATTGAAGTTCAGGAAAATTAACGGTTTGTCTAAAGAACGGTTATTTTATTAATGAATAGACATTACTTGGATAGAAACCTCAACTCGTGATGTCTGTGAGGAGATTAATCCATCTCAATGTCTGTCAAGAAAAGGGCTTCCTATAACAACAAAAAAGCATCACCACAACGTACAATAGTGTAAATGACAGCTGTGTCTAATTTTAATAGCCATTGATCGTTAGCAGAACAGGAACTAAGAGCAAATAAATAGGGACCTTGTTGTACTCAAACAAAAATTCAGGGAACGTACCAACCACAGAATAATCAGTACAAAAGTTTCAAGAAGGTTATCATAATAATATATACAATAGACGCTTTTAGTTTATGTGAATACTTTAACACATCACACACAACATAATTGGCGTTACATTGCGTACTTAGAAATGATCAAATATAAAATAGTTTACTGAATATAAATAAGTAGTATAAATCAATACACATAAAACGAGAGAAGTAGCCTAGAGGTGAGGACAACAAATGTAAAAGAACTCAAGCCAGCCTCATCAAAATTTCCTCACATAAAGTGATTCAACAGTACCTGATTTTCTATTTTACGATCGTAACACCCATGTAAAATAATAACGATTATATTTCACTCAGTAGAATGTTTGTACAAAACACTTATTTTTGTTAAGATATGTGGGTTTATGGTTATTGGATTTCATAGTTTACACAAAAGATTGATATTAGATAACCACCAAAACAATCGGCAACTTATTGTTCTTATATACGACTCTTCACTAGTGGATGTCCATCAATCCATTGGAGATATTACCCACATCTTGCAACAAGTACTTAAACGGTTAGACCACTGAAATGCTATCTAATATTTTTTTTTGCATATAGTCTTATTAATAGACAGCTGTATAAAATCGCGAACTGATTGAAGCTAGGCGCACCTAACCACCGAATGTCTTCTCAGTAGTTGAAAAATTTAACCAGAGCTCTATCCCTAAAAAGTTCATGAGTGCACACTGTAGAGCAAGCAGTCACATATATGGATGAAATAACTATTTAGTGTTAGCTTGTTACAATCATTGTCAAACTAAGACCAGTTCATAGGCAAATTATTTTAATTTTTATCGGAAATGAACAATTTAACTTACTGGAAAAGCTATTCTATGATTTTAGATAAACGATTTCATACTTATATACTACCATCCTTTTTCATTAATATCATCCCAAACTGGATGTGATGATTATATACCAGAGAAAATTTATATTCGATAGTAAGACACAATAACACTTTCATGAAAATTAGTTAATATGAAATGGTTTAATGAGTGTATAACTTTCAAACTGTTTACATACAATAATAATCATAATTCTTGAATCTGTGGTGCGAGCTACTTATAAGTAGTATATGACGTGAGTGTCAACGTAATGTCTGGCAGCAGCAGATAAGGGAAGATCAAGAAAGGAAGAGTTAGAAAACAATGGAATTTGTATGAAACGCATGAATAGTGACAATGGATTGATGTTGTTTGCAACAGGAACAGTCCAGTTCGATATGATGAACTGATATTTTGCAAATGAACGATTTACGATATGGTTTTCCTATTTTACTGAGTAACTCTGTAATTTTCGTTAAATACAATTCGGTTGCCCTCACCTGTGTTCTCCTTCACTACATATCCACCAAATCACTGAATTATCATAGTAAGAAGGAAGGAGAAGATGATATTTTTTGTTTGAACCAACTAACTACACTTATACTAACTGTGGATAAACGTGCATACATTAACCAATCAAACTGTTTTAATTTTTATCTGTGTCATTTTTCATATCAAATTTATCTGGATGACTCATCTATCATGTTCATGATGATTGATTCAATTAAATTTTAAGGAAATATATATTATTACAACCACTAACACTATCATCTTAAAAACTTGAACCACTCTCTTTTCATTGTTTATTTTGAGGCATTACCATAAAGTTGTTCAAACAATGATCAACCAGGAAATAGCTAACTATCAATCTCTTTTTAACGTTGCCACTGGTAGGATATTCATCCAATATCGTAAGAGAATTATTGATCAATTCCTATTGGCTAATTCCTACTGGTCAATTTTATGGTCGCCCTAGATATCAATGTCACATACTCCAATATTGTTTCTTATTGGTTGTCCTGACTATTAATGTCACTTCAAATGTTACTTCCTATTGGTCGTCTTAACTGTCAATTCCACAGAATTCGATGCTGTTTCCTATTCGACCAAAATGCATAAATATGCATTATTTGTAACGTTTTATGACCACGACCAAGATCAGGGCTCGGTCCCGGATCCCTAGTCCGGGATCTGGTTTCGGACCTCGTACTTTCTGGATGCTTGTAGAATACAGGTTCTACTTCATATCATGTCTTCTTATTTTTACTAAATATGGGGGAATAATCGGATTTGAGTAGTATGTCGTGTCGCCGGATCCTCGTTCTCGTTTTCTGACTAGGTAAACTCGTAATAGTTCAAGTATATCAAGTTGACGTGTTTAGGTGCAGGCATAACAGCCACTTACTCGTATGACTTTTTGAAAATCGGATACTGTCTGGCAATGAAATCGAGGACATGCGTTTCATTCCACTGGGAACTCATTGTTTGGCTGTACTTAAATCCTAATGTTGATGTTCAAATACTAACCTATTATTCATTGAACTACTAAACTCAGATGATCATTAGTAGCGTGTAGATACGATATGAATTTTTAAACCTGTAAATGGTATATGTTTGTGAAATTTTTTAACCAAATTGTTAGGATATTCATCCAATATCTTAAAAGAATTTTTGGTCAAATCCTATTGGTCGATTTCTATTGGTCAAAATTATGATCGTTTTAACTGTCAAAGTCAAATACTTCAATGTTGTTTCTTATTGGTCATCCGGACTGTCAATGTCATTTCAAATGTTACTTCCTATTGGTCGTCTTAACTGTCAATGTCACAGACTTCGATGCTGTTTCCTATTCGACCAAAATGTATAAATACGCATTATCTGAAACGTTTTGTGGCCACGACCAGGACCAGGGCTCGGTCCCGGATCCCTAATCCGGGATCCTGATTCTCTTCTGGTTTCGGATCTCGTACTTTCTGGATGCTTGTAGAATACAGGTTCTACTTCATATCACGTCTTCTTATTTTTACAAAATATGGGCATTGGGATAATCGGATTTGAGTAGCATGTCGTGTCGCCGGATCATCACTCTCGTTTTCCCGACTTGGTAAACTCGTAATAGCTCAAGTATATCAAGTTGACGTGTTTACGTGCAGGCGTAGCACAAATTCTATTCAAGACTATCTAATCAGGAAATTTATAACAAATCAATCAAATCAACAGTAACGTAGAACTGCCTATCTACGTACATCAGTTCATGTTGCCATACCGCTTGTAGATGCTTTGGGGCTACTGCCAATCCCAAGCACGGATAAATAAATGAGGAGGGTTGGGATTGAGGTTGGCAACACCATCCCGCAAAAAAACTAACTCACTAAAAAAGGATATGTATACGACAGGAAAACTCAAATGTTTATAAATAAAATCTCTAGGAAAAAAAAACGTTTCCATCAGAAAATAAATTTATTTCAGTCATAATTCAATAAAAATTTTTAAAGAACCACAATTCTTTCTAAGCAATTGATTTAGATATATATATAAAGAACCACAATTCAATGACAAATAACTCGAAACACGTATTTCTGCTTGCATTATGCAAACAGCTGTTTTCTTTTTTAACTAATAAAAAATACAGTTATTACATTATTTGTTTAATTGAAAGGAAAAATTGAAGTAGAAAACTACAAGTCTCTAATGACAAACACAACACAAATAGTCATAAATTGAAAAAAAGACCCACACACACGATTGAACAATTGAATTTCAAGATAAATATTCAAAATTTCCAATACCGCTATTAGCTCCATTTGGAAAAATGGAAAATCGGAATAATACAAATGAAAAGATAAATAAATATCAATGAAAATTGAGTGATTATTTGTCATGTATTACGTCTTCTTCTATGTACGTCCAGAATATAATTTGTCTGTCTATCTATATAGATAGACAGACAGACAGATGTATTGATAGATAGATAGATAGATAGATAGATAGACAGATAGATGTGTGGATAGGATAGATAGACACATAAAAAGCTTTCCAACGCATATTCTCAAGTCTTATTCAATAAATAAAATAGTTTCCTTAAAAAGAATCCACTATACGCTGAGTCAGCTAATTAATAAGTAGCATGATGAGTCATGTAATAATTTTTTTTTTGATTTTAAAAGTTAAATATATACAATGAGAAAGAGAATAAATTTTTCAAATGAATATCAATGAAAATGAGTCATTATTATTCCGTGTGATGTTGAATTAGTCATTAAAATGAAAAGTATGCATTTCAATTATCCCAAAATAATAGTATTTATATAATATTGACATAAATAATAATGAAATGAAAAGTCCTCCAATCTTTTAATCTACATATAAATAATATTCAAGTGTGAAATCTCTTACTAGATAAACAAACTAAAAAAAAGTTAAACGAAGTTAATCTATCACAGGCTACAATTCATTCAATAGTGAATTGATTGTCTTTTCATTGACAGGTACAAATGCTTTATTCAATCGACTATATAATAATACATTACCAGAATATAATTCAAACCATATTCCATGTACGCGTATAGCATTTTGTGCAAATTGATTTTTTAACATTTCATATGAATAAACATGTATCATTTGTTGTAAAACATTTGCCTAGAATAATAGGATTGATTCATGTATTTGTGCGTGTGTGGGTGTGTGTGTGTATAAAGGAGAGAGAAAGAGAGAAATGAAAAAAACTACGTTAATAAAAATGTTATATTCTTTCCTTGCCTTATTATCAGGACCAGAAATATACTACTAAGAGGAAGGTTAGTAGTTCAATTTATTAATAATTACTAATGAAAAATATTTAGTGAAACTTTAAAGTTACCATGATGTATAGTGAATGTCAGCGCTCTTACTCTAAATAAATATTAATATGCATTACGGGGTTGTGAAGATCAGTGAAGTTTAACATGTTCGGGTGTAGGCAGTGTCTACCGAAGACTGTGTATGAAGTTGCGCAACTCCGTGAATTTGATCAAGTTAGACATTAACACCGTTAGATACCGGCTCAGTGGTCTAACGGTTAGGGCGTTCGCGCACAATACCGAAGGTCCTGTGTTCGAATCCTGCGGGGTGCAGGAGTCGTGGATGCACACTGCTGAGGAGTCCAATACCAGGACGAAACGGCCGTCCAGTGCTTCTTGCAGGTTTCTAATGGTGGTCTAAAATTGATCGACTGATCGTTTCAAAAATGTGTAAATATTAATATGTAGTATGATTATAGAATTCTTCTGAAAGAACTATACACTAATAGGCTTGATAACAATCAGTATTAGGATCGTATCGTCATAGCCAAAATAGATGACTGAAAGTCTGGGATGGAAAATTCCGAATCACTATCATTTAACTAAACAGATAGGTTCATTTAATTTATATAATACAAAGTGAAACTAAATGTTAGCGATCTATGACTCAGATAGATTATTTTTTGGTAGTATTGATTTCCTTAAGCGACTAAAAAACTATCCAGAAGCTGATGATGTTTTGTGGAATGAAGACGAAAGCTTCGTAATTTAACTATCCATCGAAGAAATCCCAATATTATCAAAATTTAAAATGTAGTATTGTCATGTTGAAGAATACAAGTTATTAAACAAAATTCTATTGGACGAAGCCAATTAATGCAAATATATGTCATAGACTGGATAAATCTAAGTACTTGCATTGCGGGGTTGTTGTGAAGATTGTTAAGTCACACATTTTGAAACCATGAATCGATCAATGTTAGATCGCATTAGAAACCTGGAAGCACTGGACGGCCGTTTCGTCCTGGTATGGGACTCGTCAGCAGTGCGCATCCACGACTATGCAGTATTCGAACCCAGGTCCTTCGGTATTGTGCGCGAACGGTTAAGCGTTAGATACCGGCTCAGTGGTCCGATGGTTAGGCGTTCGCGCACAACACCGAAGGTCCTGGGTTCAAATCCTGCGGGGTACAGGAGTCGTGGATGCGCACTGCTGATGAGTCCCATACCAGGACGAAACGGCCGTCCAGTGCTTCCAGGTTTCTAATGGTGGTCTAACATTGATCGATTCATGGTTTAAAAAATGTGTAAATCCAGGTAGATCACGTGCCTACTTACACAATCTAGTTCAAAGTCAAATACTAGGTGAGAAATGTTGATTGATGAATGTTATTGGTCGAAATTTAGCTTGACTATGTGAACGACATATTTAGGCTGATTAATTGTATGTATTTCGACTTGGTTTGCCAATAGAGTTTCTCATTCACTCTTAATCTTCTCATTCAAGTATCAGTTTAGGTTTGCATATAGGAAGCATGCAAATCAGCGTCGGAATCGGAACATCAGCCTGTATAACAATCTGGCAACAAACTTTTACAGCTTACAATTATAATATACTTAAAGATTGTTTAGAAGATATTTACTAAAGTATTTTCACAGAAGATTTTAAGCCTTCATCTTTGAGTTACACAGTTTGTGTGTGTGTGCAAACTAGTGTTCATACAGCTACCCAAAATCAAAGGAGACCTGTGTCTCTACAACTGAAAACACTAAATCACCATATGTTAGGATATACATCAAATATCCTAAAGAAATTATTTTATGAGTCGAATTCTATTGGTCAATATTTAAGGTCGTCCTAAACTATTAAGTTCACATACTTTTTTAAATGTTCTTTCCTATTGGTTAGTATTCACGCTCGACTTAACTGTATAATTATGCATTGTCTGTAAAGTTTTATGCTCCAGCTCTTCTTCTTCTGTACAAGACCTCATATTTTCTGGGTGCCTGTCGAATACACTTTATACTCCATATCAAGATTTTTTGATACCGTTAGTGGGGGCTTAGGACGCTCGAATTATAGAGTAGCCTATCATTGTCAATGGATCATTTGTCTTAGCTCTTGTTTATTGACTAAGGTGAACTCGTAATAGTTTTCGAGCATATCAACTAGTGACAAGCATAACACCATAGAGCTCACTGATTTTAGAATAATGAATTGCATAAAGCATCACATTTGAAACCATGAATCGATCAATGTTAGACCACCATTAGAAACCTGGAAGCACTGGAGACCCGTTTCATCCTGGTATGGGACGACTCATTGGCAGTGCGTATCCACGACTCCTACACCTCACAGGATTCGAACCTAGGACCTTCAGCATTGTAGGTGAACGCCTAACCATCTGATCACTGAGCTGGTATCTAACGGTGTTAATGTCTAACTTGATCAATTCACGGAGTTGCGCAACCTCATAAACAGTCTTCGGTAGTTACTGTCTACACCCGAACAAGTTGAACTTCACTGGTCATGTCCTCCCACTAGAACTCGGTGATCCCTCACGAAGCTGGTCACTAGTGAGCACAGGTAATTTACATTACGAGGCTGTTGTGAAGATTGTTGAGGTACACATTTTTGAAGCCATGAATCGATCAATGTTAGACCACCATTAGAAACCTAGAAGCACTGCAAGACGGTCGTTTCGTCCTGGTATGGGACTCCTCAGCAGTGCTTCCAGGTTTCTCTAATAGTGGTCTAATATTGATCAATTCATGGTTTCAAAATGTGTAACTTAACAATCTTCACAACAACCCCCATAATGTAAAATATCATTAAAACAAATATCTCTCATTTTCAATCAAACTCAAATGTACAACACTTACTTGAGACAATAAATCAATTTCTGTTAAATGTTTAGTTAATTTTAAATCAAGTTCAAATGTTGGACAATTTGGATGAAATGATGATGATGATGTGAAACGGAGAATTTCAGAGCTAGGATCGAAATTTTGTAAAGTTTTACATCCATTTTTCCAAATCCATTTTTCTAAAGGTTTTGATTTGATGGGATTATTTTCGCTAAGATTATCAATAGATTTATGCTGTTGCTGCTGATGATGATGAGCAAGATAACCTTGTTCATGTATAGATTTTCTTAAATTATTTAATAAATTTATAGCCTATCAAACAAAAAAAATAAACATTTTATTGGTTAATTTAATTATTTATAGGAAATAACTGATTTCTTGAAGATATTTGTGTTTAACGTAGTTATTTACTTATTGTATCTTTCGTTTGGGTAGGTTAGATCCCCAGGACTCACTTGATTGAGGTCCTAAATTTAGATTTTATGGTATCGCGCATGGTCTGATCAGATGACCTTGAGATTATATTTCCTACCTGGAAAATCATTGACTGTTATAGGTTGATGTATTATTATTTTAGTATGCTATTTTCGTGACTCTCCCAAGGTCGTTCCTATGATGTATAAATAAACTCGATCTGTATGCTTGTAGAATACACATTCTACGTCTGATCACGACTTCATCCTCTACTTATTGGGGGACCTTGGAACGCTCAGATTACAGTAGCCTATCGAGTCACTGGATCATTTGTCTTTGCTCTCATTTACCGACTAAGATGAACTCGTAATAACATTCAAACATTATCAGTTGAAGAGCATAACATCTTTTTAGTTGAAAAATTAACATAAATAAGGATTTTGCTTACACTGCAATAGATATAAAATAGTTATAAACCGAAGCATAATTGTATATATATATATATATATATATATATATTTATATATATATATATATATATATATATATATATATATATATATATAATCCATGCTTGCCATTATTAAGCAGGTTCAAACTCATCACTTATTGGTTAGAGTGTAGTGTATATTTACATATATTACTTAGATATAAATTTGCTTCTATAGAAAAGTAGATATTGTTTATTATTTAAGACATGTTTTTTTGGTTATTATTGATGAAGGTTTGAGAAAGATGAAATATTCAGTATTATCCCTATGCAGAGGACATGTTAAATATTTTTGTTGTATTAATAAATAAGTGTATTTTAATTTTACTTTATTTTATTCAAATGATAAGCTTGTGGTGTGTGCTACTTATACGAACGATATAAGTAGTATAAGAAGGGATGTGAAGGAAGAAGTCGCACGGTCATAAGAGGAAAACAGAAAGCAAACGGAACAAAAGCAAGAAGTAAATGGAGTAGTACCAACAGGAAGGAAAGGAAGCAACAACAGGAATGGAAGAAGGCTGGAGTGTTGGAAGTCACGACTCAAAGATTGTGTGCAAATAGAGTGTTGTTCAATGTAATGTTTTCGTTTTTAATTGACTAAGAGTGTAATCTGGCATAATACAATCTTCCTCGCCTGCCTCAGTCTTCTCAAGCTCTTGTTTGATTGTTTTACCGTTTTGGAATCAACAACATTTGTGAGTCATCCCTTGATTGATTCAATTTTTTCAGTCAGTCAGTCAATTACAACGTAGAACTTCGTACGTTCGTACGTACCTACATCAGTTCAAGTTGCCATACCATATCAGCACACACACGCACAATTCAAATCCCATAATAATAGAAATATTAGCAGTAATCAAAAAGTTCAATGATCGGATATATCATTCAAGATGTATACCTCAGGGGAATCGATTAGAAAAATGAGAAAAAATGGTCATGAAGAATTTTAAAAAAAATTAGAATTTGAGAGAAAAGACAAAGAATATATATACACACCTGTACCATTGCAGACGATGTTGAGCCATGTAATTCAACGTCTTTAACCATCAATTACTATCATATCGCGGGCCCCAACCAAGTAGTCTACATTTACTAATATTGTGGTGCGAGCCACTTATAAGTAGTATATGACGTGAGTGAAAACGTAATGTCTGGCAACAGAAGATGGGGGAAGATCAAGAAAGGAAGAGTGGGAACACAATGGAATTTGTATGAAACGCATGAATAGTGAGTGAAATGTCAGACAATTGATTGATGATGGATTGATCTTTTGCAAATTAACGATTTACGATATGGTTTTCCTATTTTACTGAGTAACTCTGTAATTTGCGATAAATACAATTCGGTTGCCCTCACCTGCGTGTTCTCCTTCACTACTCAACCATTTTGTTTGCAATGTATTTTCACGATTATAAACGAAAATAAAAACACGATCCATAATTGTCCTATTTTTCAATGCTTATAAGATGTGTTTTAAGACATATAGTTCTTTTCATAAGCGTACAAGAGTTTGTGATGTATATTCATGTCAATAGCCTGTCCCTAGTTTAGATGATACTCAATGAAATATCCTCTTAATTTCCCCTTGATCAGCTATGTAGGACTGACACATACATAGGAAATAGAAGTATACTATAAACTGTATTGGCTTTCATCTTCTATCTCAATTGATTCAAGTCAAATAAACTAAGTTATGTATTCTCTATTCTGATTCATTCAAGTCCTCATCATTTTATGACCTGAAAATGGTGATTATAACTGTTGTACTGACTTATTCAAGTGTCTAATCATCAATTAAATTTGAATGATATGGACAACCTTGAACTATATTTTAGCCAACAAGGAAATAGTATTGATTAAAAGGTAGTACAATAAAAATCGATAATAAGTATTTATCATGAATAACAAAGGTTTCTGTTTACACACCTAAGATTTCCATCACCAATCGCGATATCAGCTGCTATAAGAAGAGAATCAATGCCCATGTGGAAATCTATCTAACTCACTGTAGTCCATGTCCACATACTTCTGTTAATTTACATTTCTAAAGGATACAACAAAACTTAGTGAAAGAAAAACTTAATAAGCAATATAGCGGTCTATTTTCAGGACAATTGAGGATTATTGATCTTAAAGTTTGTTAATGCTTATAGAAAGCAATATACAAATGGGCAGTTTGTACTTTTATAAGCCCGGTTAAGTAGTTCTGCCGATTTCTTGTGTGTGTGCAACACAAAACTCTGTTATTTTAATATTGATAAAAAATGTTGGATTGACCTTGAACAGTTTTATCTTTTATGATGTACTAAGGCCTTAATGTATTGGTAAGTAACTGGACGTAAGCGATCTCATGCGTTATATATATATGAAGCTACCTCTTTGCTCTTAGTTTGCTAATTATTAATTATAACGAGGCTCCATAACTCCTCACTTTAACGACATGCTACAAACTGAAATAACCTATAACTAACATTGGGAATTGTTTAACACATGATTCAGTCAATTGTATAGTGTATGCATATATCTACTGTAAACAGTTCTGTTAATTTTATAACAGTAAGCATCTATATATATTTTGTTAAATCCAACCTTTCCTTACCATAATTGCTTTGTTTATTTTGATTTCCGAGTTGATTACTTAACAATTCATCTAGTGAGTACATGATAATTGTCATTATAGAGTTGTGGAAATTGTTAAGTTTCATTAAAATCATGAATCGATCCAATGGTTTCATGTTTCTAATGGTAATCTAACAATCTCCACATTCCTATAATGACAATTTTCATGTGCTGACAAGTGATTAGCTTGTGAGGAAATTCTTGGAGTTCTAGTTAGAAGTTGTGACCAGTGGAGTTTAACTGTGTCAGGTATGAGGTAATTACTCACGAAAGATAATGGATAAGATCGCGCAATACAGTGAATTGATTGAGGTTAGACATTAACACCAGTGGATGTTGACCCCGTTGCCTAGAGGATACATGTTTGCATGCGAAACCGAAGGTTTTGGATCTGATTCCCACGGGAGGGCATCGTGAATGCACACTGCTGATGAGTCTCGTACTAGGACGGAACAAACGTCCAGTGCTTTCAAGTTTTCAACAGAGGTCTAACATTTATCGACTCACGATTCCAATAAAACTCAACAACCTTAACAACATTAAAACGACAATTAATCTATTGTTTTACTTATATACTTCTCAAATTTCAAATGTTGTTAAACATGTCATAGCTAACCTCTTGTTTGTTAAACCCAAATATTCAAATAAAATTATACTGAGAAACAAGTTGTCATCAATATACATAGTTTCGCTTGACTACTCTTTTTATAATTATTAACACAAGGTGGATAATTAACCAAGCGACTTTTAATCCCTTTTAAATGCAAACAGTTTAAAATTCCAAAAGCGAGTTGACCATGTCCATTCTACTTCCTGCTTACTTCTATATTATTTTTCATTCAGATTGATTTTCTCAACATTGATGCACTGAAAGATTCTAGCAAATGAATATATTCAATTCTAATCATGGACTGAAACTAACAGACTAATGGCAGCAAGTGCATCCACTCTTTGTGTTCTCTCAAATCATCTGTATCTTTCTCTTCATAACTTTATCTCATTGAAGTATACTTCTCGAATCATATCTTTGAACCCTAATCTTCTCCATTACTGCCAATACTTCTACTATCACTACCACTATGTGATTTCAACTGACATTTGCGTCTCTGTACTAGTGGGGTAGGCAACCTGAACTGCTGTACGTACGTACGAAGTTCTGAGCTGTATTTATCTGTCTGTCTGACTATTAGAAACTATGGAGCAACCGAACTCTACGGTAACACTTAAGTGCCAATCAACTGAGATTTGGATGTTGTGCAACTTTTATAAGTCACTTGGTTCAACCTGTCTAAATACTGAAGTTAATATACCTGTTTTAGATTTGTTTGGTGTAAGTGGTGGTTCTTCGTTCTCTGAGCTGGATGTTTTGGTTGTGGAGCTTTCATTGTTCTTCTGGATAACATGTTGTTGTTCAGAAGAACAATCAAAGCTCCACTACCAAAACATCCAGCTAAGAGAACGAAACACCACCACAATTTGATGTAAGTAATCGTAGATGCTAACAGTATATCTACCTATTACAAAGCGGCTGAAAATTATTATGATGCTAAATACTGTCAAACGCAAACCGAATATTCTTCTAAAGTTCTTGGGATAGTTCGTTTTTTTGTCTATGAATTAAAGAAACGAGAGACTAATGTGTTTGAAGTGAAGCAAATTATGTATGATAGGCAGAATAAAAAGTTGAAACAACCGAAGTGATAGGAAACGGGAAGCAGATAATAACCTAAAGAACTGAGAGTCATGGATTCAATTCTGAGTGGTTTAGCAAGTGAGAACCGTTTATAAGTGTTGAACAAGAATGCAATACCAGTCCGGTGTCATCGGAATCTTACCAGTTCTTCAGCTGATCTCATCACCTGATGAAATTTAACCTTGGAAAAGTAAATTTGTTCCGACTGTTGAATTTCATAGAAATCCCGAACTGATCTAAGTTGGAGCATCATTGAAAACTTAGAAGCATTGGATAGATGACTCATCCTAGTATGAGACTCCTTAACAATGCGAGCCCACAACATTGCATGTCTAAATCAAACCCGTGACCTTCAGTTCAGTGAAGTTCAACAGCATCGGTTGTGAGGCAGTTACTTAACTTGAAATCCTTCAGGTTAAAGGAAAAGAGGAAGACCGGAGAACACATTACGCCAAGAATTGCAAGCAGACGTAATGTCTGGCAGCAGACGATGGGGGAAGATCAAGAAAGGAAGAAGAGTGGGAACACAATGGAATTTGTATGAAACGCATGAATATTGAAATGTCAGACAATGGATTGATGACTGATTGAAGATTTGCAAATTAACCGTTTACGATATGGTTTACCTATTTTACTGAGTAACTCTGTAATTTTCGTTAAATACAACTCGGTTGCCCTCACCTATGTTCTCCTTCACTACAATATGTGTTAGTTAGTTATCACACTGGCCAGTTAAAATCAATCTCTAAAATAGATGAATATATATACTAATAGTATGTACGAATATATTATTACTCAGAATCTTATTCTTATTGAGATATATAATTTTAAACGGACAATACATAAAAATTTTTTAACACTATAATGAAGAGTTAATAAACACAACTGTTATTGATTAAAAAAATATTGAACTAACTCGACAATCTGAATGTCCACATATAATGATATCTTTGATTTCACATCGTAATAATGTCAATTCTAGAAATCCAGGTGTAGAACAATTTTCATGTAAATGATCTATTGGAGATTCATCACAACAAAGAAAATTTCCTGGATTTCTTTCAACAAATAATTCACCGACATTTGAACACAACAATTTTGATGTTAAAACACGTGAATCAGCACATGAAATAACAGCAGCTAATATCTAAAAAAAAGTTAGGATAAATAAATAAACGGAGTGAATAAGACATTCTTGAAGGCTGTTATATGTGGCTGATTACTATCTGTTAGTAGCCAACATCATGGGAGGATATTTTTAGTAAGAAATCTGACAATGAAACTGAGTTGTTAGTAGTATTGTAGATCACAAGACTGTCTGAAACCGTTCACAAGCTACTGTAAAAAAACTCTATTTTGGCATGCAAGCTCTCCAAATAATCTTTCTGGTACATCAAAATTTCACCAAAAAACTGGCCTTGGTTATTTAATCTCAATTAAGTCCTGATGATAAGTAAACCTGTACGTCCTATTAACGTACAATTAACGAGTGAAGCGGAAAAAAAATAAAAAAAGCGACGAACACCTGCTTAGACATATTGTGGTGTGAGCTACTTATAAGTAGTATATGACGTAAGTGTCAACGTAATGTCTGGCAGCAGAATATGGGGGAACATCAAGAAAGTAAGAAGAGTGGGAACACAATGGAATTTGTATGAAACGCATGAATAGTGACAATGGATTGATGTTTTGCAACAGGAACAGTTCAGTTCGATATGATGGACTGATATTTTGCAAATGAACGATTTACGATATGGTTTTCCGATTTTACTGAGTAACTCTGTAATCTTCGTTAAATACAATTCGGTTGCCCCACCTGTATTCTCGCTCGCTACAATATTATAAAACTGTAGTAATTCCGATTACATTTATATAAAAACTAATTTATCGAATAAACCAGAACTTGAGACACAATTCCGTATCAAAACAATCCGTTCAGGATACATTAATCGTAACAGAGACTAATCAATTAGTCTCGAATATTAACAACTGGAAATTACCAACTGTTATTATTACTTTAATATCTATTGGAAAATTAAGTGGTTAGTCGGACTCATTATTTCACGAGATAACGCATTGACGTTTAAAGTGATAGATATCGGATTCAAATCTCAAAGTAAACATGCAGCTGACAAATCTTAAATAAGATAAAATGTTTATGTTGGATTTTATGATGTTAATTGTATACTGATAACATTGTTCTACTATTGATAAGTTAAGAAAAAATAAGCGTAATTATATTGAAAGATAAAAAAAACATTTACAAGTCAATTTAACTTACATTTGGATTTTCATTGTATGCTTTAAGTTGACTTAAAAATGACTGTTTGTTAACATAAAATTTTGCAATCCTTGATAAAATTTGATTCATTTAATGACAAAATTCAAAGCTTGATTAATCTATAAATAAATATGAAAGGAAAATTTCAGTTAAATGAAAGTCAACTGTTAATTAGTGAATGTTAACTAACTATTTCTGTTATTGTAAGTGAAATAAACTAATATCAAGATGAGTAAACTCAGTAAAAAATAGACACTACGTCGTAATAAACCATAAGATGAATGCCAGTGTTACAATTAAGATCCCGGAAGGAGTTCAAGATAAGCATTAATGAAATCGGAAAAAGTAACATTTGCACAGTGTTTTTTAGGCTGTTAGTAATTGATTCGACTGACTTTAATCTTCGATTTGATTAATTAGGAGCAAACTATTCATTGAGCAAAATTTCAGCATAGAATACATTCAACTTCAGTTTGACTATTGTTTGATAGTCATTTTTGATATTTATCATTTACTTGTCCAGCGTGAACTAAATCGCTTATAACTTCCTGAAAGGACTTTATGGATTTCGTCCAAAGCTTTTCATGGTTTAGCTGGATGAAGTCTAAATAGTGATCTAATTGAAGGTCAGTTTCTGTTATTTATTTGAAACCTTAAATAATACTCCAGTTGGAATATGCCCAAATTTACTGTTAGAGGCAGTGTGGTTAATATGACATTGAAATGCGTAAGACCTACTCAACTTAACTAAGCATTGATTCCAGTTTTAAAAGTATAGATTGTAGATGATATATTGTCAGCGACAATGAAGATATCTGTCTTTTTTTCAAGTCGCTCACTACTAGGCAAAAGATGGATTAGTTTAATTGTTAACTGAAAGCCTTTCAATGAAACACGAGACCTGGTTTCCCACAAATATTTGAATAAAAAATATTGCATTAATCTGGGAGAATTATTTTAAGTATTTAAACCATTGACCGGTCTACTTTAAGCGAACAGACCAAGAAGTACGGATACACTCAATAACTGAAAACTAATAGCTATCCACGATAAAAGATCACAAGGGGAAGGTTAGTTTCAGCTGAACATCTTCAAATTTTATTATTAGGAAGGAATTGAGTAATAAGCTAAAAACGGTCTAGCTACTTTGAATATAGAATGTTTATATAACAGGACGAAAATTATTTTTTAAAGGATCTTATAAGATGTTTCTATATTATTTATATTTTCAGTGGCTATCTGTGTTCTCCTTATATGAATAATCTGATTCTGCAATTGATATATTTAGACATTAGATAATAATAGCGAATGTAAGGAATATTAGGCTGAACAAAGATACATATGTATGGCTATTTCTCTGAAAAATATTAAACTCAATACAAAAATAATTGGAACTAGTCATTGTGAGATGTAAGGCAGTAAGCTTGAAATATGCCTACTGTCTTTTATGGTACCATAAAAAGCTAACTGTAGATATCTGCATTGAAGAGGTTAGCAACTAAGATGTGGATTCGGTGTAGAATCAAGCTATGAGGAAATGAACGTTTTGACAAACAACATCTGAATATTAGGTATAATAGTAACTATTGACTCAAGACTTGATAATGAAATACTGATAGCATTTTAATAAAACAATGATTTCTACCCATAAATATCTATAAACATTACTTAAGAATTTTGCGGTTCACTGAACAGATAATAATTGTCGATGATTTCAAAAAGTCGATTGTACTGTATTCTCTGAGGTATAAGTAAGCGCTGATTTTGTAGTTAAAAACGATAAAAGCCTCTCAGTTAGACTCATTCATCCAAATCACAAATCCTTATTATTTCAGTAAACATTTAGTTAAAGGGTTTGAGCATTACTGTGTACAGATCTTTTGATTTTAACTAAATGTTTAAATTTCTGGTTTTTCATATCAGTCTACTTCGATGTTTTAGAGTACGTTATTTCCCCGAAAAGCGATAAAAATAGATATTGACAGAAATAACCCACACAGAAGTAGTAAATAGTATGTTTCTAGTAAATAACTGTTAAGAACCTAGTAAAAATATGGACCAATATCGAAAGTAGCAACTGAATTAGTTTTAAAAATTCATTGAAGATTTGTATCACAAACTTATATGTGTGCCAAACTTGAATGAAACGAATTAATAGTCTAATGAGTTAAGACTTTCTTCAAATAACTTGTCCAACATTCGTAATCAAATTTACTAATAAGTTGGTTTACAAAACGAACGATATAATTTTAAATATGCCTATGCTTAGAATTAATTTTGTAACCATTGCGTGCATACCAGCTTCCAATTTAAAACTTTCTTTCGATTATTGAGACGTTGGCGCAGAATTGAAAGAAACATTAGGAGATCTTGAAGATAATACAGTATTCATAGAAAAACTTTTCTGGCAAAAGCATATTAAACTAACTTTCTTCAGTGGCCTATCAGCTGACTAGGAAACACTGCCTATAAATAAAACACACTACATAAAACAGCAATAAAAAACCAGTGTAGTGATAGCTTTGGTGTGACTTATCAATTTTCCTATGTCCGACTGTTACCGAAAGTGAAAACAAAAGGCTAAGTCCATCCTTTAAAATTCAACCTATTCTTAGCAGTTTTAGGTCTAAAAAATGAAACTTCTATTTATCGGAAGTATACCAAGGATCATGTATTGCCAGTTGTCTCTTGCTGAATCACAACATACGAGGCATCAGTAACGCTCCAGCTGCATCGTAAACTGATAACAGTTCAGCACTTGAAGGTCATACTACTGTAAAATGATTGGTGCGTCCAATCGACAAATCATGAACTTTTCGAGAAGCTGTTAAAGAAAGAAAGAAAGAAAGTTTCAAATTTGATTTAAGTGCAGCACGCTATGTCTGAAAATCACCATCCGTCAAGTAACGAACGTTTTGCTTTCGTAGCGATGTATGATTTTGAGCAAATATCCAATGAGATTCAATGTCCAATATCTTTTTCACTATCTAGTACAAGCTAACTGATTTCTTTGATTTCTTTTCTGCTGATTTTAAAAAGAAGACGAATGTTTCCAAAACTACTGCGCAGTATAAGCCAATCAATCAGTAATGGAGGTAGTGTGAGGTGAAAGGAGTAGCAGTGCTCGTAAAAAGAGACAGAACAAGCTTTTGACGATGATGATGGCTTACAGTAACATGAGTAGGGAACAGCTAGTCCAAGAGGGAGATGATAATCGGTATGTGAGCAGGTGTTTATCAAGTCTCCTTTTGGAGCTTTTCACTGAAGGAATGTGGTCATTACGACTGTCAGAGGCATTTCACTTAGGGATGAGTCCTGATTTATAAAGGTGTGTGCATAGGTGGTTGCTCTTGGACATTGAACTTGTTTGTTAGTAACCTAGGTATTTATCATTTTTAGTTTAGTAATGTAAAACGTCGTTCCGAGGACTCAAAATGGTAGGTTCATTGTAGACGTCACAAATATTATCATTAGGACATAATAATACCAGTTACTCGTAACTGACGATTAAACTTCGGTTTCCGAAACACATCTGACTTATCCGAAATGAAGTCACATTCTATGAGAGCACTAGTTGTCCCTTTCAATTACAGACTACAACAGAATTTAAACGTCGCAGCAAGTCGTTATTGAATCTCATTCTCCAATTACTTATTGAGAATAATCTTCAGTCTGGTAGCCTGCTTCTTGAGAATTTTTCTTGAATCCTACCATCTGATTGGTTGTTTGTCTCAGCGATCAGCCTAAGAGGTTCGTCTCCTTCAAATATCGGAGGCCCAACGACATTGTGAACTTCGAGGTAAGGACGGACCTATGTACTTAGAACAGTTTCTCAGCTGATTTTATCAGGTTGTCTTTATATGAAGTGAAGAGAGGTGTCTATATTGACTGCATTCATTAAAAGGCTTGATCTGGTGTTCAGGATCTCCGTGGTCTCTAGCCCTAGATCAAGCTCCGAGGTGATATTTAGGAGTAGAATACTGAGGCCAGCGTAAAGTAGTAAGGTTTCATTATGGCATTATGTTGTCCTGTACAAGACCTGCATTTGCTAAACACGCGTCGCACTTCATCGCAGATGCAATTTTTTTTATCTAAAACTAACACTGTTAACTTTTTCACCAATATCGCAACTACTGGTATTAATGAAACTGGTTTTCTGCCGGCTTTACCTTCCTATCTCCTCCATAGAAGATTGAGTAGATACGAAATAGTTCGTTTTTATTATGTTGGAAGTTTCTGCAACTCAGATGAGTGCTCAAAATGGCCGCATAATTGTGAATCATTGTGCGAATATTGTTACATGCTATAAACATTTCTAAGTGCAACCATTTCATTATGAGGATTTAGACTGACAGTAAGCGTTAAGTGTATCACATAAGTAATCAGTGTTGAATCCTTCAGCTAGTAGTTTTGTTCTCAATGGTAGCAACTGCTGTGTCTTAGTCAATCATTTAGGGCCTAAGTACCTGAAGAAGAATGGTAAATCCATCAAATCAGGTGTTTAGGACCTCTGACCCTGATTTAGCGGCAGCATGATTCCATCGAACCGACTAGTTTGGTAGTATGTGATGTTGAGGCCTCAGAATCTTTGTTCAGGTATATCGTCAGATTGACCCCTTCTTGTTGTGCACTGTCGCATCGGAAGAGTATCGTGCATTTCACGCTTTGTCATCCTTGATATGGAGGGATCGGTCTAACTGAAAGCACATATTTATGGTGTCTTACACGTACGTCACTGCAGAGACTCTACAGCAGCATTCATCCTCGGTAATTAAACAAGTCGTCTAAATTGAGTTAGCAGTTGAGAGGGTTTCGCCTGTATAGTGTACCGCATTGCAGAGACTTACCTTTGGTTCTCGTATCTGAGGTTACTTATGAAAGTCAACTGACATCTACGTGTGCTTTGCCAGACTTCCCTGCAGTTGACGAATATATCAGTCTCGAGTGACGGAATTGTGAAATAACTCAAAACCTCACTCGACAATGAACCTCTGATTAACGTGCATAATTCAGATCACCACACCCAAAATCCTCCACTGATTCCTCTAATAAGAAACCAGAAAGACAATCCCTCTAAGATTCCTACTCCTAGCAAGACCAGTATGTAACAAAAGAATGGCAGAATAGGGCAGGCTAAGACTAAGTGCTAACAGCTTACCGTTCTGAAAGCAAACAAAGATAATTTCATTGACTGCCCACTGCCAGTCACAGCCAGCAAATCTGCATTTGAATGCAACTTCCGCAAATCGTGTGATGACTGCCAAAGTGATACTGCAGTATCTAGACAGTATTATGGATTCGTAATGAGTCATCCCTGTCTATGGTTCTGCTATATTTATCCACAGTTCAGAACAGTTGAGACAAAAATGCTATTAGCCGCGAAGCCACAGACCTCACTCAAAATAAACCCACTAATCGCACCAAGTAAACTCAATCCGTCCAGTACAAAACCGAACAAACGGGCAGCAAAGGTAACCGCTATCCTAACCGAGATGCCGACTGAAATTTCGGTTGTTTCAAACTCCCAAGTATCCGTTAATAGTACTGAGCGGTGAGTAGGCGTGAGAAAATGAAACGGCGAAGTCACACCTCGAAAACTGTTGCAGATCAGGAACACTAATAATAGACTATTATCACTAACGTTCCGGTGTCGAAGGATAGCTTGCTAGATTGTACAGCTGTCTTTGATAAAGGACAGTAGGTCGAATACAGCGCAATTCTTGAAGTGGGCGGTAACTCTGCCAAAATAAGCCGTCTTTTCAAAGGTCAGAACGTCGTAGTAGGGAAAGCCTCCCTCTGAAGGTAACATCAGACTCTGTACGACCTGCCGAAAATATCATCCTAACATACCAGAGACTCTCAGGTGAGTTGTCCTCGCCTAATGTGGTCAGTACGAGTAGCAGCCAGGGCATAACTGGCCACCAAAGATCTAGCCATTATGGTAGTCCATGGCGTGCATGAACTGGTTGGTGGTAGCATGGATGGAGCTCACACACATGGCGTGCAACAGCAGTGACTACTATAAAGTAGTATTGGCCTTCACATCACCATGGCAACTGACAAACAATGAGTGACATCATCCATAATGCTGTCTTACATAATGTTCTTCCGGCACATCATATACCGGCAAAGAGAAGGATTTGGATCAGACGAGGCTCTGAACGCTTGTTACAGGAGAAACGGAGGGCCTAGCTCAAACGGAGCGTCTCTCTGATAGAGTCCGGCCAAAGCTCCTACTTGGCACTGAGAAACAGACGCAATTGCATACTTCGAGGTGTTGGGACGAACTTCCAGATGAAGCAAGCTGTCCCAAAACAGGCAAAACATAAACATCTGCTAGGTTCATAATTAAAAGAAAACCCGCTAATCAGAGTTTGTGTTCCCTTAAAGGTCCGAATGGAGAAGATCTCACCAACCTAGAGATGGCTGAGATCTTCGACAAAAACATCACTGATCGGTTAAACTAGGTATCCGAACGTCCAGAGTACTACTCAAACCCACGGCCAGCTGGCGACTTGAGGAATATCCGTATTACTCCTGACTTAGTACTAAGGAGACTAAAATCCTTATGCCAAGAGAAGTCACCAGGTTGAGACAACATTCGGCACATGGTCTTAAAACACTGTGCAGAACAAAACATTGGCATTACTACCAATACTATCAAAAGAGATTGAACAGCTGCTGAACAAACATATGATAGAGTACATAGATAAGAGCGGAATCACCCATAAAGCTGAACACGGGTTTCGGAAAGGCATCAAACCTTCTAATGACATGGGATAGTTGGACATGTTTCTGAGACCGAAAAACATCCGTGCACATTATGTTCCTAGACTTCGAAAATGCCTTCGACACTGTACCCTACTTACTCCTGATCGCAAAGGTTGCGGAAATGGGCTCCGCTGACTAACTCATTTATTGGTTCGGAAATTAAATTAAGATCAGAAAGTTTCGTTCCAAAGTACATAGATCGCAAACTAGTTGGCGAGTCACAGCATCATGAATTTCATAAGGTACCATCTGAAGTCCATTTATCTTCCTGATATTCATTAACGACCTGTTAGACTCAATTAGCTTGCCAGCATTGATCTACGCAGACGATACGGAGGTCTGGAGGCTCACTAGAAGCGAAGAGGATTCGACTGAGCTTCAGAAAGACTTTACATCCCTTGAGGAATGGGCAATGAAAAATGGTTTAAAAACTAAATCAGGCGTAGCGTCACGTCATGTACATTCTGCCCCACATGACGCAAACGATTTACACCCTCAATGGAAGTGCGTTCCCGAATGTTTCCTCAAAGCGTGATCTCTGTTTAATAACCCCAGAAAGCCTGCGCAGCATTTCGAACTATATAGCCGACGCAGTCAAGGTAAATGCATCTCCTCACTTTATGCGAAGACAACTTGATGTTATCACCTCACAGTTATCCTCAACGTTGTTTAAGACATATGAACACCCACACTTTGAAGTTCAAAACGTCGTCGCACACCCTCTCCTCAAAAGAGACATCAATCTATTGGGTCGAGTGAAGAGACGAGCAACAAAATGGATGGTAGGGTTGAAAGATAAAACTTACTAAGATAGACTCCAGCTTTTGAGATTATTCCTCCCGATTTACGGGAGAATCAGAGGTGATCTAATTATGACGTACATAGCAACTGATAAACTAAATTATACATTTATATACTTAGTCCTGAAATCTTATTCTTATTAGCACTAGACTTTGCTCCTTATTATCCTCCACACTGCAAATAACTGGTCGCTGGTCTGGTAATGTGGTAGCAGCTGGTGTCCAGAAACTCTGCTGCTATTAAACAAAGGTATTCATTGAAACCACGGGATGTACATACTCACAACCAACTGCTAACTGACTAGAATCAGGCAGTCAAGTAGCTAGGTTCCCATCTATTGGAAAATACCAAACACCTGGAGCCGTATCAAAAGAACAGGAATCTAGCACAAGGAAACCAATTAGTTCACATTAGCTCGTGAAAACGATATTGGATATTGCACTGATTGGCCTTATGCTAATTCTATCATTTGACCATGGAAACTGGTAAAGCGGCTTTTTAAACCCTTTATGCAAGTTGGTCTATCAGCACTTGTTTGGATTACTAACTTGTGTAAACTCTAATTTTTAAAATTACATGACGATTGTTTCTGTATGAAGAAGCGGAAACGTACAAGTAAGTCAAATGAACAAAAGAAGCTAGAGTACACATATCACTCTAATTTAAAAATTTTATTGCCGGAGGTTTACAGTGTTGCTCAGTGAATGTATTTGTTTTAGAGTTGAAGAGTTCATAAGTTCCAGCAGCCATCACATTAGGAGGCCTAAAATGGTTTTTTGCAAGTGGAAGATGACAAGGAGAGAATGCTAATACTAAGTAATAGACGAATGTCATTCAGAATTAGTGGACTATATATATAAGTAATTCTTGACTCAGGCAGTTTCGAAATGGCGAATTTTCAGGTTTAACATGGGGACAACTATGCCACTGAGTGAAATTGAACAAGTTATTGATAATGATGAAATTAGACAATTTTCTAGATGCGCTTCCGATACATGTTGGCTTGGACAAATTTTATGATAATCATTTCAACGGCTTTCATATGACGCATTGTATACTGAAACAGGGTTTCAGAGAAAGCAGAGAGGTAGTCAGATATTTAGGAAACCATTATTTAAATAAGTCTAAACACTCACTGAGCCTTTAAATAATGATAGGCTGTTTTATTAAGCGGTTACTTGCAAGTTTCGATCTTATAGTTCAATTGACGAGAGTTCAGACTAGTGAGAAGTCACAATCTCATGGGGATTGGTGATCAGTTTAGTGTCATTTTCAATGCGAAACATGGGCGTTGTATTCATTATCGACTCTAAGTCAACGCTTTTCAACTCTTAAGTGTACCCTCTGTAGTTATTATTTTTCATCCCTCTAGAATATGTTCTGTATTCGAAACTGTTCGCAGCGTTTATTTATGGAAAAATTTGGGAGAAAGCGCTACCGAAAAATAGAATATGCTACAAATAATATGCATAACATTTTTAATAAAAAAAGCACATCTTGAGAGAATCAAGAATAAATAATCAACAGGAAAATTGCATGATAAGGGGAACAGTCCAGCTGACAGTGAAAATGAGAAAATTTAGAGTTGTTTCGGTCGCAAACGTCTCTCTCCAATTTATGAGAAACGTGAGAGGAAACAACAGAGACATCATCAATTTTCTTTTTGTTACGGCATGGCTAACTACGTCCCAAGCACCATCTCCCAGGCCTCATTTACGGAGTTTTAATAGATTGACAAATGCCAATTACAGATAGTCTTCTTTTCTGTCTTAGCTCCGTATCACAAACCAAAGAACATGAATAATTTGTAGTCGGCAGAGAGAAGTTTGTTACCCACATCAAGATCATGTATTTGGATTTTATTTAATCATTCATTTTCACAGTTCTACACCATAAAATATGATCGGTCAGAGTAGGTCCGTAAAAACAGTAAACTTCAATCGTTTGTAGTACTACTGGAACTAATGCCAACTTCATCTGAGAAATCTATAGTTCTTTATTAATTGAAACAAACTGTATAATCGGTTAAGCTGAAATAATCTGAATTTGTCTGTTCATATATTCTCATAGGTTGCTTTAAATCTCATTCGTATTCAAACATGACGCAATATTAAATAATCGACGTCAGTCGATTGAATGACTGAGTTGACAGAGATTATCCATGTTATGGAAATGTGCGTACAAAGTTACTGCCAATGTATACGGAAAATATTGCGAAGTTTATAACGGCGATCATCTAGATTTGAAAAGTTCGCTTTGTCATGTAGTAATCATGGAAGAATTTACGTACGTTTTTAAGGATTGGGTAAGCGTTCATCACATAATTGGTGCAAGGATATTTTGGTAAAGTCAATGAAATAAACGAATAAAAGTTGCACAAAGTGGCTTTAAAAAATCAGACAAGCAGTTGAAAATATTAATTGAGTAAATCAGAGATAAACTGACACCTTCTTTTTACTAAGTGTACTAGTGCTAGTGCTAGTGCATGGATGGTGTATCAAACACCGTTCCCAGTGCCATATCCGACTGGTTGTAATAATCTTGAACTGGAGATAGTAAAACAAAATCAAAAAGCGCGGAGCAACAAAAGCAATAATCACAATGCAAAATTATTCAGGTCAGCCATGACACAAGTGCTAGGTTATTTTATGATTTATTGTCCGGGTTTCATACTATTCAAATCCAATGAATCTATGGGGGACATTGTTAGACTAGATCAGATTCCGAGTCAGTTTGCCGCATGCGCAGTATAAGTTTGATTATAGGATTATTAATTACAAAAGAGGTATTTGGGTGTAGACTATATGTAATAACGGAATTGCTATTTTCCAAGGTATGAGGGCTTATCCGGGCTTGATTCATCTGTATATTGTCCAATTAGATATTAATCTCTGCCTAAATGCTATATAGGCGTTATATTTAATGAGTACATAATAACCATACACGTTTTTGCAACAGGTGTGTTGCTTTGCTGGAAAGATCAAACGTGCCACCAATGATCAATTCAAAATGGTTATGATAACCAGATGAAGGGAATCGTTTCTCATTATAAAATGTGTAACTTTCCTTACTGTATATATACATATATGCACAGCTATTTACTCTTAACATGAATAATGGTCATGATATTGCTTTTCTCTTTTATTAAGGCGAAATCAACAGAGAATTTTATCCACACAGCACTGACGGAAAAGACCAATTCAAACGAAATCTTCCACAAGGCTAAAATATCGCAAAATTTGCAAACATCTGACTCTTCCAAAGATGTAAGCATGAGCGTTGCTGCGATGATGCCACCATCGCCTCGAAGTCCCATTTGGATGATTAACAGCGAATCAACTGCTAATTTCGGGGTTAGATCATTCTGTTCATCAAGTGGTGAACTAAAAACACTTTTACTATCTAATCTGAAATTAGAAACGGTTGACAAAGACCATGTAAACAATCTCTCTATACCTATGAACATGTTCTCAAGCATAAAAGATCACAACGCATCAAGTAACATAATAGAAGAAAGCATTTCCTATGAGGAAAAACCAATCGATCACGTAAATAATGAAGATAATCTTAATAATTTAATCGTCAAAAATAATTTTCAACAAGAATTGCGTAAATTAGATAATCCCACAAGAAAAACTATCATTTATTTATTTAAACGAATAGCACTAATCCATCTGAAGATAAAATTCATTGAAAATAGTATAAATGATGGTAAATTTATCCAAAGATTGTTATTTGATAAACAATTAACTGTTGAACTATTGAATTCACAAAAAACAAGTCATGTATGGGAAATAAATATTCATCCAATGCTTAGCAAATTCTTGATTTTACTGTTTAAAAGTGATAGTCATTATGTAACAACACCAATGTTGGGTACTAGTCGATATTCACTAAAAACGGTATCGGATCCAAATGAAATTATGTCAAATTTTAATTTATTAATTAGTAATTTTTATGAACAAATAAATCGAATAGTTATTACACAGAATCAATATCATTCATTAAATACTCGGTTGAATCAATTAACTGAAGAATATGCTAAACTTAATTTAGAGATTAATAAATTGAAGGCGTTAGTCGGCAGTCAGGTGAGTCAAACAAAGAATACACCGAATTATATGGTTACTGACGGCATGATTACGTCAGCTGAACTGATTGGAATAAACACTACTGAAAATGATTACGACGATTCAGCGAATCACATTAATTACGACAGAAATTCACAAGTGAGTGAAGATTCTTCACTCCCGGTCAGTACAGAAATTGAAGTTATCATTGGAAAAATTAAGATACATCCTAATCAGTTAAGTTGTATAAGAAAGCAATGTACAGAAGCAAAACAAGAAAAGGCTAAACAGTTAAATCCCACGAAAGGAAAAGAGTTAAAAATAAAGAAATTTCTTAGAAATAACACAAGTATGCAATATGAAGAGGATGAGAAAGAAGACAACGAAGAATTCTCAAACACATCTCAAAGATATCTACTTCAAAAGAAGATAACTCTAAATCACAAAAGTGAAAATATTACATTTATGAATAGGAAACATAAACAGAATGAAATTCACTACTCTACTCTATGTCAGAAACAAATAAAACCAGTATTTAAACAGCCTGCCATATTGTACCGAATGAAACCACTGTATTTCAGATCTTCAATGGAATCTCTCAAAATATTAGAATTGTTCAGTCTAACCTTTCCATCGTATTTACAAAATGAAATAATCAATTCACCTGTGAATCTAAAACCTAATATTTTAAGATACATACTACAACAGTCAGGTATTCTTTTACTTCTAACATCAGAAAATCATCTTAAATATGTTAACAAACATTTACTTGGTACAGACACTTATCTATGTATGAAAGAAATTATAACTCAGAAATTACTAAATGATTCAAGTTTAAAGCTATGCACACTAACTGGATTTAAATATATGGATAGCAAAGAACAACTGGATGATATAACAACGAATGACGTCTCATCTTCATCTGACTCATTTCTATCTTCTGATTTACAACTTGTTTTACATGATGAAAACCTTGAAACGACTAGTTATGAGTATATTGAAGAATTTCTTAATGACAATATTGACTTTAATGTGAATATAACTTGTACAAATGATACTGGTGTGGGTTTTGGTACTACTGACATTGACAATTTCTTATGCTATCATCAATCAACAGAATACAATGTGCATTTATTTAGTACAATTGACATTCTGTTAGTTTGTTTTTGTGTTGTCAGCTTGTTAGTGTCATTTTGGCATTTTAATGTGACCTGGCAACTTGTCTTGGTGTTCATTTGTGCTTGCTGGTACTTTGTTTATGAATGATCGTGGTCATTTAAGTTATGGATGATAATTGGATCCAGTACAATGGACATGATGACTCCTGATTCGATTTTCAATTGAATCTGCAGGAAATTTACAGATGTTTGTCCGAAGTAAGAATACTATGGTTCGGTTAATTGTTGTTACTTTATGAACAATAAATTGGATAACAGTCAGTCATTTGCAGTCAGAAGACTTGTGGCTTGATTATTCTTCTCCTGTAAATTGACTGTATAATGAGTTGCGATCTGACTAATATCAGTAATCCAACTAACAGTGACGACTAATGGGAACGAAGTAGCTGGATGTGATAATCTCATTTCTAAAGTGTGAAACTTATTCAGTATTAATGAAGGGAATTTGTGGAAAACGTATTATTTTGATGGCTGAAATGACAAGCGAATCTAAGCGCGATCACCATCATAAACCCAGAAGCACTATATGGCCGTTCTGTTCTAGTATGCGATTCCACAACAATGGGCATCTACGTCCTCCGCACGCGGGAACTGAATCCAGGATCTTTGTTTTCGTGCACAAACGCTTGATCTCTAGAAACCAGAGTCGACATCCATTTATTTACTTATGGCATATTACAAAAATGTTTGATAATTGAGGATGGACTATGCAGATTTAACAGATAATCTTCATGATACTTGGATCTCATTGAGAGTGTGTTCAATATTGATGATCTGAAACGTAACTATCGCTCAATTCCATATTGATTTAAAATAATCACATGGTCAAAAGAAGAAAACTATTTCAAAACACAATTCAACGGATCTTCTAGGCTGAGACTCAAGTAAAAATATTTGTTCTACAAATTCAGACTGTGGTACGCGCTACTTATAAGTAGTATATGACGCGAATAAAAACGTAATGTCTGGCAGCAGAAGATGGGGGAAGATCAAGAAAGGAAGAGTGGGAACACAATGGAATTTGTATGAAATAGCATGAACAGTGAAATGTCAGACAATGGATTGATGTTCTGCAACAGGAACAGTCCAGTTCGATTGTGATGGATTGATATTTTGCAAATTAACGATTTACGATATGGTTTTTTTTATTTTACCGATGAACTCTGTAATTTAAGGTAAATACAATTCGGTTGCCCTCACCTGTGTTCTCCTTCACTACGAGACAATTTCAAGAGTTAACAACTTAGCTAACATTTTACTAGTCAGTTAGTTTAGTTTTGTCAAGTCTCGCTCTGACAGTTACACAGTTAACTACTTCTCCTTGATTTTTGTTCCAATGAAATGAACAACAGTTGTATGCATTAGTTCAGTATGCATTGAATAGATTAAATCAAATGAATCAATTAAATTTTCTTGAATCAAAGAAGCCTCGATTATTTGAATGTAGACAAGATTTAATTGACGTTTGAACAGAACAAACGGATGAGAAAAATATTCACGAAATATTTCCATCGTCATTATTAGAAAAGTATCAAGAAAATACTCTAACTGTTATTAGTACAGAAACTACAGGAGTTATTGATTTTGTCGAAATACTTTTCATAACTACGGTTACCAATACAACCACAACTACCATGCCTATCACCAAAAACTACATCTAATTTAAATTTCACAACGAATTTCTAATGTCCGAAACGTGGAAAAAAGCACCAATCAATGAATTAGTCAGTCCTGTTGACCATTTAAGAAATTTGTTTGAATAGAGTAGTTCGGTTAAATGCCTTTTACATCAATATTGTACTGTTGTGTCAGAAGTAAGTAGAAAGAATATTGAATGAGTATTTTTGATCACATATATATATATATTGTTATGTTATGGATTCAGCATTCAGTTCAGTTTTAACAATGAGATTTGTAGACTAGACGATGCGAGTGTTGTTATAAGATCTTCTGTGGCCCCAATCTTAACAATACTATCTCATGTTTAAACTTGAAAATAATCAATTTCAAAGCTTTATTCAATAGCTCGGCTTGTTTGATAGATAGTGAATGACAGATTGGTAATTTATGATGGGAATGTTCATGTGGTTGACATTGTACATTGTCTCAACACTTTTTATCTAGTAGTAAAATGTATGTGAAAAAAAATTATGAAAATGCATCCATCTCATTTCTCAAACTGATTCTGAAAAGCAGATGATGCTTCAAACAATAAATGCGGCGTGAACGGCTAACCAGTTTCCAAAGCTGGATGACAGCAAAAAAATGATATTCACATCTCCGTTTAATGCTAGATACAGCCCTAAATCCCTAGCATGGTTGATGGTGAGGACAGTCCGTTCCTTCCCTGTAAATCTCTCATTTGGTCAAGTGTATCTAGTCACAATCACGGAAGTCCTACTCATTACCTTCTAGGGACAGAAGTCTTGTTTCCGAAGTTGAGGGGACGAAAAGCGAATGCGCAGAAAATCTTGAACCAGTAATGTGGGTACAGAGGAAACAATGAAAGGGAGTTGGAAAACCCTGATCCTTATAGAATATCTGACCTTATAATCTTCGGCTACCATGAGGTAAAATGATAAAAACTGTTATGATATTGAGTTTTTATTCACTTAATTTCGTATAAAATACAATCAGAAAAGATTGGTTCAAGCAAAGCGTTCTCCATTCAGAGAATTCATTCATCAACGCTGAACAATCACAATTACTCTTTGGAAATACTAACCGCGATAATTTAAGGTTTTGCAAAACCTAATAATTGTGATACGAAATCAAGAGACAAAAGCATCAAAACGTTCTTTTTATTAAGAAAACTAATATTAACGATGTTGCTGCTACTGTTGTCACGAGTTAAATATTCATCATAAAGATAGGTAAGGAAATTTTAATTGGAAAAGAAAGACCCAGTGGGATAAGATAATATGTTGACACTGAGATGAATTGTAATCAGAAGGATCGTAGAAACAGGAACATTTCAGTTGGGCGTTTCAAGTCTGAGGGAAAGAAGAATGGAGTGAAGTAGATATCAGTGAGAGAAGAAACGGTAGAAGAAACAGTGACAGTGGTTAACATCATAGCTGGAGAAGCGGTTATACGAGTCTCACATATACACAGTTCTGGTTTTACCGAATGCATAGCTAATGTTTTAACACTGGAATTATCGATGATTTTGAAGGTACAGTTCTGTTTGATCGGATGACCTGTTTTAACAAGGTGTTCGACTATTGAATTTCTTATTAAGCAGTTTCTGCCTCGGACTCTCTGGAATAAAATACTCATCGAACGACCTATATACCTAGCTTCTTGTGAAGAGGTAACTTGATAAACCCACGTGGAATTAGTCAAACGAGGTCGTTTCAACTTTAGACTTTTCATCAGAACCGTGAACCGATCAACGTTGAACCACCATTAAAACCTGAAATCATAGGATGGCCGTCTCGCCCGAGACCCCAAATGGTATCCTGTAGGTCTGTTTGATTTATCAGCGTTAATTAATCATTGAATAGTAATCATTATCATGTTCGTTCTACCAACTTCCTCCAAATCATCTAGCATTACGCATTTTATTCATCTAGGATATAAACATATTTCACTATTCAAAGTCACTGATGAAAACCAATTTACTACTGTGTTTTACCGTTTATTTTGTGTTTCCAAATGAGGGAGGTATCGATGAAATTTGATTTATAGGGTTTTAAAAAATTTACATCTTCGCAAAACTTTCACATACTTTGTTCAGTTTACTTCCCTCTCATTCTCTCCATCTCTTCAATCTCTTGATTCAGGTTATACATAGCTGTTCTTTATGGACTCAATCAATGGGCACTGGGCCTGAAGCTTCTTCATTCACTACATGGAGAATCAGTGATCCAGATTATTTCGTAATTAATTGAATGTTTGTTCTGATGAAGACGATGGTAATTTGGTGTTCACTTTTGTACGAAATAACTTCGCCTAAAGTTTGAAATTATTATTCAACATAAAGTAATATCGGTTGGAAAACCATCAGGAAAATCAAGAATCACTGAACAGCTATCTTGTCTTACTTTCAACCTCTGCAACAGTTTTCGCCAATAATCTCTCAAGGAATTGAACTTAAGTTCTACGGATTCTGAAATAAACAGGATGTATTTTGATTGATTTGAATTTTGAATGATAAACATTCATCGTTAAAAAAAATAAACAACTTACCTAACGAATTCCAAAGTTCTAATTCACAGCAACATTGAATAGATATTTTGTATTGATGATTGAACTTTAAAAATAATTTAATAACAATTATTGAGGTTTATATTTATACATATTGGCAGGATTTAAAGTATTATCAATAAGCAGTTGATTTAAAGTGGAAATTAACACCGTTAGATACAGATTCAGCAGTGGTATATGAAGGTTAAGCATGCTCACTCGAGACCAAATACCTTGAGATCGATTCCCATGTTCAGGATAATGGATACCCACGACTGAGAAGTCCTATACTAGGAAAAAAAATTAAATTATTTGTTTTATTTAGAATGTACTCGGTTTCAACATGATACATTTCGACATTAATTGAAGTCTCTCTGGAAATAATTCGTATCCTAAAGAAGTTTATACGACGTTTTAACATCTATCTAATATCGATCCTTGAAATATTTGTAATCAGTGATCTAAAGCCTAAAATGGTATGTCAGGAAAATTGATTATCGTGACGCAAATTTGTATTTACTCTCCATCATTCTCTAGATTTCTGAATTTGTACAATTCATACATTTTATTCATTGACCGTACACAGTATGTTTTTAATTTACTAGTATTCTAATATCCACTAAACCTCAACTTGGCAATACTCTCTCAAATGTATCTCTATTTGGGAATTGGGAATAAATAACTAACTACTGATGTTAATCAAAATGCCGAAAGATGTTACCCATTGTGTTTGAAATAATTGATTGATGTGTTACTGTTTGTCTGTTACAGTTTCATAATTGTTTGTTATAATACGTTACTGCAGACTCTTTCATCACGAACATATGAAATCATCTTGTCTTCCATACAATAATTTCAGTTATTGTCTAATTTTAAAGCAATCAGCAAATCAGTTTAGTT